GTAACAACAACCAACGCTGTCGGTTCTAGAAACTGGTCCTTTTAAATTAGTGGCATTGCTTCGTGTTGTTCCGAAGGAAACGTCGGTCTTCTTCGTCTAGAAATTTTGGGGACCAATCACATTAGCGAAATCCCCAGATAGTTGCCACCGTGGTTCGTGCGTCGCGGAGCAAAGTAGTGTCGCGTTAGTTGGGAAAGTCTCCCGCGGTAGTAGCTCGTCGCTGCGTCCGCCATTTTGGAACCGGCTTTAAGTTGCAGAAAATTTAAAGAAAAATATTTCAAATAAAATAGTTGTTGCGGCGCGTAATAAATTAGTAATTCCGGATGGAGGATCGAAGAGGTTAAGAGTTATTTGGTTTAATTAGTTTATTATATTATTTATTCCTAGAGAGTGGTGTGAAGTGTTGTAAGCGAGTCGTAGTACGAAGGATTCTAGTTTAGATTGAATTCTAAAGCGATTTCGAGTGAGTTCCAGCACCAAGTGACTTTTTCTCGTCAGCGATGTACTAAGAAAACTCCATGCATGCATGTAATACTTTCTCTCGGTTCGAAATTTTGAGGTTTGCGCTGACACGTAGATGTATAAATCCCTGGCCTTGCCTACTGTTGACGAATTTTTGCCCCACCACAAACCTCGCGTAACAGCGAATCTACGCGGTGTGCTGCTACAGCTTTCAACAATTACAGGTGTCGTACAGTTCAAATAAAATAATATTTTAAATCGCAAATGAAATTTCAGCAAACCCAAATATCTTCAGTTTGATAATCCGAAGTATAACATGAAATATTCTAAGTTTGCATTTCAAATATGTATTTGAAATTTTTATTGACGATGAAAATAAACGGGGACTAGACTCAAGATTGTTAGAATCGCTGGAGCTCTCTTCGTTCGATATAACCCTTGAACTTTTAGAACTTCCAGGACCCTTAGAATTGTTACAACTCTTACAACTCGTAGGATTCTTATCGTGGGTAACCTGTTGTCTCCACCTTCAAAGTACCGACCAAGTGATCCTACTTTCCCCGGAAGTTCTCAACCCACAACCAGGGGCGAATCCAGAGGGTGTGCTTCAGAGGGGGGTGAAAAATATATTTTTCAACTGTCTTTTGTACGATGTAAAATTGATTTAAAATCTATCTATTCGTATTTTAATCATTTAAATGTTCGTACAAGTTTACACTGAAAAATATTTACAAAATTAGTGTAAAATGAATAATAAATATAGTCTTTTAAGTACAGAATAAATACATTTTAAATATATTTTATGTCATTCGAAAGACGATTCAAAGATATAGAATTATAAAAATACAAAATGAATTTAAAATGAATTATGAATATATTTATTATTTAGTTTACAATACTTATATTACAAGATATTAATTATCCATACAAATGCATACTGAAAAGCATTTAGAAAATAAATTTAAAATGAATTATAAATATACATAACAAAGTATATTTATTATACACTTAATAAAGATTCATTTTGTAAATGTTTTTCCGTACAAATTTACACTGAAAAATATTTATAGAATGAGTGTAAAATGAATAATAAATATAGTCTTTTAAGTAGAGAATAAATAAATTTTAAATATATTTTATGTCATTCGAAAGACGATTCAAAGATATAGAATTATAAAAATACAAAATGAATTTAAAATGAATTATGAATATATTTATTATTTAGTTTACATTACTTATATTACAAGATATTAATTATCCATACAAATGCATACTGAAAAGCATTTAGAAAATAAATTTAAAATGAATTATAAATATACATAACAAAGTATATTTATTATACACTTAATAAAGATTCATTTTGTAAATGTTTTTCCGTACAAATTTACACTGAAAAATATTTACAGAATGAGTGTAAAATGAATAATAAATATAGTCTTTTAAGTAGAGAATAAATAAATTTTAAATATATTTTATGTCATTCAAAGATATAGAATTATAAAAATACAAAATGAATTTAAAATGAATTATGAATATATTTATTATTTAGTTTACAATACTTATATTACAAGATATTAATTATCCATACAAATGCATACTGAAAAGCATTTAGAAAATAAATTTAAAATGAATTATAAATATACATAACAAAGTATATTTATTATACACTTAATAAAGATTCATTTTGTAAATGTTTTTCCGTACAAATTTACACTGAAAAATATTTACAGAATGAGTGTAAAATGAATAATAAATATAGTCTTTTAGGTACAAAATAAATACATTTTAAATATATTTTATGTCATTCAAAAGAAGGTTCAAAAATATAGAATGGTAAAAATACAAAATGAATTATAAATATACTTAGTAAAATATATTTATTATTTAGTTCACATTACTTATATTACAAGATATTAATTATCCATACAAATGCATACTGAAAAGCATTTACAAAATAAATTTAAAATGAATTATAAATATACATAAGAAACTATATATTTATCATTAATTTTACATTCTTATAAAAATTTCTTAGTGTTCATTGGCATCGTTGGAACGACCGTTAAAAAATGAATAATAAATATACATAAGAAACTATATATTTATCATTAATTATACATTCTTATAAAAATTCCTTAGTGTTCATTGGCATCGTTGGAACGACCGTTAAAAAATGAATAATAAATATACATAAGAAACTATATATTTATCATTAATTTTACATTCTTATAAAGATTTTTTATTGTCCATTGGCAGATCTAGAAACGCACACACACCCCCCTTTTCTGCCCCTTCTCGCGTCTCTTTTCTAGTTTCACCGTACCATTTCTCAAAATCCATAAATCTGTAAGAATCACAAAACCTCTGGAATATTCGTCTAAGACCCGCCTCTGGAACTTTCGAGCACCTTCAGGACTCTCGGAACTTCTGGCACCCTCGGGACGCTTGAAACTCAGCGTCCTCTGAATTCTCCAAGAGTCTGGGAATTCCCTTTTCGCCGTTTCGGAGTCGCGCGTATTGTGTTTCGCGGATTCGATCTTGCATACGCCGTATCTTACGAATCTGGTGTCATCGTTATTGGCTCGATAGAATTCGAGAACGTTTCTATTACGACCTACCAACTAAAATCGTTAATTTTCTTCAAAATCAGCTCTTTTAGCCAGTTCTTAGATATCCTATACAGAATGTTCGGCCACCCCTGGGAAAAATTATAACGGGTGATTCTAGAGGCCAAAATAAGACGAAAATCAAGAATACCAATTTGTTGATGGAGGCTTTGTTAAACAGTTATTAACGTTTAAAGTTCCGCCCTTACTGAATTTTTTTCTCGAAAGTGAGTAGGATTTCAGGGTTATCTTTATTGACAAAAAATGCTTGTAATTGACCCCTGCAACTAAATATAATTTTTTTAGTATAATTTGACATTTTTTAGTTTCGTCTAAAAATTTCAGTATATTCTCGAATTTTTTTCTCGAAATTGCGTAGGATTTCGGGGGTATGTGTAATGACCAAAAATGATTGTAATTAACCCCCGTAACCGAAAATAATTTTTCCAGAACGATTTGAAATTTTTGAATTTAATTGTTAATAACTTTTTAACGAAGCCTCCATCGACAAATTGGTATTTTTAATTTTCGTCTTATTTTGGCTTCTGGAGTCCCCCATTAAAATTTTTCCCATGGGTGGCCGAACACCCTGTATATAGTCAGAAAATGAGTTCAGGATTTGGAGAACAAAGTTCTGATAAACATGCCTCGAAGAATTAATTAATATTCCAGGAATTACAAACAATTTTTTGCTTATAACAGTTATTTTTTCTTTGTCATTCCTGGAGTACTAATATTCTAACCAATGTTTACCCAGCCTTTTTCTTCCCTTCAGGAAGTCCTGAAACCTCTTTCTCAACATCCCCTACAATTGTTTCCCTAATTCCTCGAAACTTGGCCCACGTTTTCGATACTTTTTACATACAAACTGGACTTCGTTCGAACAATAACAGTTGACAAGAGCCTTTCGAGGCCAAAAGGTCAAGGGGGGGATTGACTGTGAACGCTACACCCACTCGAGAGTCCACGTAGATGATATCGACACCTTGGGCAAAGCTGCGTGTAGCGTTACCTCGTCGTAGAAGACGGATAGAGGCAAAAAGAAGGTCTGGAATCTAGCTATATCGCATACAAAGATTCCAAAGACATCTGTATCGGGTCTCAGGAGTAGAATGTCCGCATCCAATCACTCTTAACGTATCGAGTCTCCAGAGCCTCCAGCTCCTGTCAAGAGTCCGACATTTCCAATATCAGAATTTACGAGCCACGGTATACATATACAGCAAACGAAATTAATATTCGGACACTACAGAATTCACATTTTATTACCCTACAATTTTCTTACTATTTTCTTAAAAGTACAGATATTTTATTACACATTATTTATTTATTTATTATACGAGTAAAATGTACAAGAGAAAATATAATTCTATCTAATTGTAAATTGATAAATCTGATTGTAGATGTGTGATTTTTACAGACAAAGACTGTAATTTTTTCAGAATAATTTGAAATACTTTAATTAAATTTCTTAATAACTTTTTAACGCAGTCTCAATCAAGAAATTTTTTGTCTTATTTTGGAATCTAGAATCTTCCATGAAAATGTTTCCCTGGGTATAGTATCAAATTTTCTCGACAGAAATATTGATTTCGTAGAAAATTCCGACGCGTTGATAGCACATGTAACGAAACGTATGCATATTTTAAACAACAAGAATATAGAGCAGGGGAATCGCGAAATGGTTACAGGAAGAAATGGCCCAAGTTTATTCTCTTCCTTCCTCCGCCTTCTTAACGAACGAGCTCTATTTCTAGTAGAGAAATATTATCCTTGGGCGCGCGAGATTGTCACTGTTTCATTGGAAAATCGATTTCGAAAACATTGCCCCGGGGTGAAGGTAGCGGCGAGATTACCCGACAGCAGTGAAACGCAAAAGATAAAATGTCGCTACAGATTTTCGGTCGTTGAAAGTCCGCGGGAACCGGCGAAATGACAGGTCATATCTCGTTCTGCCTCTTATTGTTCTTAACGGGCCGCTGTGATTGCACGCTACGAGGGACAATATCACCGGCACTCCATCGCGATGCTACTCGTTACTGCCACATTTGCGCCAATCACACGATGTGCCGATTCCCCGTATGTATATCCACGCTGAAATCCAAGAATTATTAACGTAGGGACGTTTCGACGAGCTCTGGATTTTAATATTTCACTTTCCCCCCGCGTCAATGTTACGCGAGATACACGTGGGGAAATTTGTGCACCCTCGTATACACACAGAGTTGATCAATAATCGAATTGTTCGCAATATACCTCGGATTATTTTTCGAATGAGTTCTGTTTTTTAACGAATATATTTTACCTGGCGAATAATTATTCGTTATCCATATCAAATTTTCGCATTCCAATAGCGTATGTTTATTTTTAACGATTTTCTATATTATTAGTTGGCTTAACATATTGAATTTTCACATTCCATAAGATAATCTAATAATTGGACAATCATAAAAATTATAAACATTTATACAACGTTGTTTTTGTTCTAAGTGGTATAAAGTTGGATTAACATATGAAATTATTACATTTTATTATAGAAGTTGACTTAACATAAGAAATTTTCCACATTCCAATCGCGTATATTTGTATTCAACGATTTTCTATGTTATAAGTTGACTTAACATATCAAATTTTCCACATTCCAATCGGGTATGTCTATCATCAACGTTTTTCAATGTTATGATTATGGTTAACATGTAAAATTTTCACGTTTTATATTAGAATTTGTATTATCATATTGAATTTTCACATTTTATATTAGAAGTTGTATTATCATATTGAATTTTCACATTTTATATTAGAAGTTGTATTATCATATTGAATTTTCACACTTTATATTAGAAGTTGTATTATCATACTGAATTTTCACATTCCAATCGAGTATATTTATATTCAACGATTTTCTATATTATAAGTTGACTTAATATATCAAATTTTCCACATTCCAATCGAGTATATTTATATTCAACGATTTTCTATATTATAAATTGACTTAACATATCAAATTTTCCAAATTCCAATCAGGTATGTTTATCATTAACGATTTTCTATGTCATGATTACGGTTAACATGTCAAATTTTCACGTTTTATATTAGAAGTTGTATTATCATATTGAATTTTCACATTCCAATCGAGTATATTTATATTCAACGATTTTCTATATTATAAGATGACTTATCATATCAAATTTTCCACCTTCCAATCGAGTATGATTATCATCAACGTTTTTCTATGTTATGAGTATGGTTAACATGTCAAACTTTTCCATTTTATATTAGAAGTTGTATTATCATATTGAATTTTCACATTTTATATTAGTAGTTGTATTATCATATTGAATTTTCACATTTTATATTAGTAGATGCATTATCATATTGAATTTTCACATTTTTTATTAGAAGTTGTATTATCATATTGAATTTTCCACATTCCAATCGAGTATATTTATATTCAACGATTTTCTATATTACAAGTTGACTTAACATATCAAATTTTCCTCATTCTAATCGGGTATGATTATCACCAACGTTTTTCTATATTATAAGTTTGTTTAACATGTCAAATTTTACGTTTTATATTAGAAGTTGACTTAGCATATCAAATTTTCCACATTCCAATCGAGTATATTTATATTCAACGATTTTCTATATTATAAATTGACTTAACATATCAAATTTTCCAAATTCCAATCAGGTATGTTTATCATTAACGATTTTCTATGTCATGATTACGGTTAACATGTCAAATTTTCACGTTTTATATTAGAAGTTGTATTATCATATTGAATTTTCACATTCCAATCGAGTATATTTATATTCAACGATTTTCTATATTATAAGATGACTTATCATATCAAATTTTCCACCTTCCAATCGAGTATGATTATCATCAACGTTTTTCTATGTTATGAGTATGGTTAACATGTCAAACTTTTCCATTTTATATTAGAAGTTGTATTATCATATTGAATTTTCACATTTTATATTAGTAGTTGTATTATCATATTGAATTTTCACATTTTATATTAGTAGTTGCATTATCATATTGAATTTTCACATTTTTTATTAGAAGTTGTATTATCATATTGAATTTTCCACATTCCAATCGAGTATATTTATATTCAACGATTTTCTATATTACAAGTTGACTTAACGTATCAAATTTTCCTCATTCTAATCGGGTATGATTATCACCAACGTTTTTCTATATTATAAGTTTGTTTAACATGTCAAATTTTACGTTTTATATTAGAAGTTGACTTAGCATATCAAATTTTCCACATTCCAATCGTTTATATTTATATTCAACGATTTTCTATATTATAAGTTGACTTAACATATCAAATTTTCCACATTCCAATCGGGTATGATTATCATCAACGTTTTTCTATGTTATGATTATGGTTAACATGTCTAATTTTCACATTTTATATTAGAAGTTGCATTATCATATTGAATTTTCACATTTTATATTAGAAGTTGTATTATCATATTGAATTTTCACATTTTATATTAGAAGTTGTATTATCATATTGAATTTTCACATTCCAATCCAGTATATTTATATTCAACGATTTTCGATATTATAAGTTGACTTAACATATCGAATTTTCCACATTCCAATCGAGTATGTTTATCATCAACGTTTTTCTATGTTATGATTATGGTTAACATGTCAAATTTTCACGTTTTATATTAGGAGTTGAATTAACATATTGAATTTTCACATTCCATAAGATAATCTAATATTAGACTGTCACAATAATTATAAACATTTATACAACGTTGTTTTTGTTCAAAGTTGTTACACAATTTAAACAAAGTGTGTTTCTTAATTGCTGTCACAAAACATATATTTGTTTTTTTTTTTTTTTACTTAATATTAATTGTAGACTTTATACAAATGTATTCCAAACAAAGTTTATTGTTCACTGATGTATGATACAGATATTTATTTTATTTTTCAACTTATTTGTCAATATTTCAAATAATAAACAGGTTGAATTCTTTTACTCCAGTTTGTATTTAAAACGCATATCAAAAAGTAAATTTTATTAACTATATCAAGTATTTAATGTTGAGGATTTGCAATTCAATATTTATTAACAACAATGTAACTATCGTGTTACATTATATCTGAAATATTTTTCCATATTCCCAAGAATATAATTATTCCATCTGCTACCAGTGGTTATAATGATTTATCATTAATTTCACTGAACAAATGTTTCTATTCGTACAAATAAAATATAATTTAATTTTACAATTAAAATTCTAATGTTTATTAAACGTATAAAGTTAAAATGTTATCCAGAAACTTGAATAATTTAGTCGTGGTTAAATTTACATCCTACTATTAAAATTTTATCAACAAATTGCAACACAAGGAGCCAATAATTTCTTGTTCAAAATTCACTATCGCAATGACGATGAGTATCATCTTCTAATCTCGATCAAAAATTTATTTTTCATTCACTAATGGCTCAAGGCTCGATGTAATCTTCTTAAGCGATGTGAATCAAGTATAGCTAATACTATTAGTGCCAGTTAGTAAGATTAAGCAATCATACCAGCACAGTGTAATTAATCATTATCCTTGATTGATCTATCTCTAACGCAGTTTCCCAAAGTAGCAGGTGTTTTATAGAAACATCCATTTATAACAATACATCGATCGTCAGGGTTTAACAATTGTAAGAATATATTTTTTTTGTATTTTATTCTATTTTTAGATAAATTGAAATTTTCATTGACTTTGGTGTTATGTAATTCAGAAATTTAATTACAAATATCTATTCACAATCATATGGACTATATTTAAAATAATCATCAGCAATATCAGTATCCTTAAATATTACATTCGATTTATCTAATTTAATGAACATTTGAATTTTAATTCAAGAAAATTCTACAAATATTTCGCCAAGATTCTCGTCATTATTTCGCTCTTATTTGCAATATACAGTAAATGTAATTTATTACGTGGTACATGTATTTAATTTTTCTAGAAGCTTTGTTTAAATATTTTATATTCGATGAAGTTGAATTCTAAATCAATTAAATTAAAATTTTCATTGACTTTGGTGTTATGTAATACCAGAAATTTAATTAGAAATATCTATTCACAATCATATGGACTATATTTAAAATAGTCATCAGCAATATCAGTATCCTTAAATATTACATTCCATTTATCTAATTTAATGAACATTTGAATTTTAATTCAAGAAAATTCTAGAAATATTTCGCCAAGATTCTCGTCATTATTTCGCTCTTATTTGCAATATACAGTAAATGTAATTTATTACGTGGTACATGTATTTAATTTTTCTAGAAGCTTTCTTTAAATAATATTTTATATTCAATGAATGTAAAATTTAATTAGATTAAAGGAAAGTAAAATTTTAGAAACGCTTCATGAAACGTTTGGAACCGACTAATCTGAAATAATAAAATTCCAATGGCCACTGTGTTACACATATTTCTAAAAGATATCGAGTATCGTTCATATTTCCAGTACGAATTGATAAAACCGATACGTTCCTTGTACATTTTGCTTAAAGTTATTTCGTTCGAAATATCGACGAATGATATGGAGAGCACCGTGTCGATAATAAATGCGAACGGAAAGGGTCAGTGAATCGAAAATATAAAAATCTATCGCAGGTGTGAATTTGCGCGACGGAAATTCGAAATGACGACACCGCTTGTTATTGTCGTCCCGGTGTCGTGCACACAACGCGTATATTCACGATGTACGAGGTGGCTACGAAGTACTGTCACAAAATTTCTAAACGCACACCGCGTCACGAAATTCATAAAAATATTCTAAACACACGATTTCAAACCATTCATTTCCTTTGGCGTACGAGATCTATTTCAAAGCATTAACGAGCAAAAAAAAAGAAAAAACATCATTTGTTTATTGTTAAAGATTCTTGAAATTTATATCAAAATTTTGTCTTGTTACTTTGTGTGACAAACAATTGAATTTTTTTTATTAATGTTTCGAAAAGTTTAGTTTGTTTATTATTAAAGATTCTAGAAACTTATATCAAAAGCTTGTCTTGTTACTTTGT